CCAGATGGATCCCCAAGCTGCGGACCCCATCCCTGGCGGGCAGAGTCACACACCCCCCAAAAGAGAGGGCGTTTCCCAAATCAGTTCTAACCAGTGCAGGCACATTTCTCACTCTTGGTCAAGGAACCTCTCATGGTGTAGCACTGCTTACACTGCTAGACCCTCTGATTTAAGATTTCCATTTTAAGAATAAAGGCACATATATATAGGTTTAGCCTTTGTGTATTAGATTTGTGCTTCTAAAATATATATAGTCGTCCACCATGATAACTAAAGCTAATACAGATGATAGAGAATGTAAGAAAGGTGAAAAAGAACTACAGAAGGCAGGGTGGACCATTGTACCAAAAGCGGGAGAAACTGAACCAATAGAAAAGGTGGGAAAAATAGAAGTTTGTTTAGTGGAAGAGGGAAAGAATGGGAAGGAGGTGGAGCAGGAGTTGACAGTTTGGGAGGAGGATATAAATGAAGAGGGTGTGTGCTGGTTCAGCTCAGTGATAGCGGAGTATGAGAGTAAGAGGATCGAGGCACATAAGAAGGCATTTGAGACCATAAGACATCAGGAACTATTGAAAGATTTTCCCAATCTGAGAGTTGGAGGGCTCTTGCAAGAATCCGGCACGCAGGAGGAGAAACCGATCCAGTACATGACTAGAGAATGGACGGTGATTGTGGCGCCTAGAGAATTGGAACTCCAGTGTGAGGTCGAAATTGCGCATAACCGATTCTACGATCGTCCCGATGAGAGAGGCTGGATCCGTCATGCCTGTTGCGGGACTATTTGCACCCTTTGGAGCACTCCTCCCTGGTTGCCATTGGGAAACCTCCCCAATGAGTCCCTGGGACTATGAAAAGTCATTTGGTTCTGTAAGTTGTGGTCTGTTGCCTGAATTGAAGTTATTTGATCCCTTAAGTAATGTGCCGGAGGAAGAAGGTGTCAATAAAAGTGATAGTTCAAAAATTATAAAGATGTCTCCTTTTTTATTTCCCATGGAAGCAGAGGAGCCGCTCAGAGAAACCATTGAACCCAATCACACACACATATATAAGAAGCACAAATCTAATACACAAAAGCTGAACCTCATTTCAAATGCTGAATGTGATGAAACTCAAGCCTTACAAAAAAACCTTCGTCTTGTATTTTGGGACCTTCGTAGCACACTTTGGGACTAAATTTCGTTGCTTCAGGTTCTATGCTTTATATGTGTTCCACTTCAACACAGAGACTAAAGGAATCCTTGCATGGTAGCCCTTGGGTTCGTTACGTACCTTGAGAGCTTGGACGTCCTCAACACGGATCACAAACTCATCGCGCTCTCGGAAGATCCCCTCCCCACCACTCTCCACCTCCTCCTCATCCGTCTCCCCACAGATGGCTGCCGTCTCCTGCTTCTTGGCAAGATGAAGGGGCCGTGTGTCTTCAGGGTCCTCGGGCTCCGGAGATGCCTGGGCTGGTGGCTCCTCTGGGACAGGTAGAGCTTCTTTGGGTGAGGGAGCAGGGGAAATGGGTGGTGGGGGTAGCTCTTGCTGGGTTTCGACCTCCACCGAAGGAGCTGGACTGGGGGCTTTCTCTTCCACTGGTGGCACATCTATGGGGGAGAGTAGGAGGTGTTAGCCAGCAAGATTGCCACATGGGAAACGATCAAGAGTCACAGCTTGGAAATGCTACTTTTTGGACTACAGTCTCCAGAATACACCTGTCTGTGGCGAGACAGTCATCCAAAAAGTAAGTTTCTGTTTAACCTCTGAATTAGAAAGTGGTGAGGACTCCAGAGGAAAAAAAGGGGGCGAGTCCCAACTAATAGCAATCTGAGGTGATTTGGAAAAAGATGGAAGTTGACCATACAACAGAAAGGCATGTGACGATTACAGGTTTACACATTCAGAATTTGAGAACTGTTAAGGGAACACAGGAGAAAGCAAAATACCCAGTGGAATTTCTATCACACGGAAGTCAAAAAAGAGTGAAACATTTCCTGAGTCATAGTAAACAGAAAGACATAAGGGCTGGAGATCCTCTAGGGCAGCCATCCTTAACGGGAGCCATATGCCTCCCTAGAGGACCCTAGCACATTCGAAATGGGGTGGAGATTGAAAAATAGGAGAAGTTTCCGGAAGATATCTGTTCATGTCGTATCCTTGTTTGGCACACAGCTCTGGAACCTGAGAAGAACTCCTTAAAAGGGCTGTGGCAAAAAACAAAAACAAAAACATGTTGCTCTAGTCTAGGGTGTAGATGGGGACATGCTCTGCTCACACTCACCACTGGGCTCTCCCTCCTTGCGGTCCGTGGGGTCATAGAGTGCCGAGATGGCTGAGGAGATGCTCTTCTGGAGGTCCTGATTCTTGCTGACAGAGTCCTCCTCGTCCGATGAGAATGAAGGCAGCGTCTCCAGGTTCCGCTTCAGCTCCTCATCTAGTCGCTTGCAAGGACTGGTGCAACTCATGACAAGTCCAGCCGGATCCCCTTCTGGACCATCCAAACCTCCAGGCAGCATGGAAGACGCCACGCCAAAGGGAGGTGGGGGCTGGGATGAAGAGGAGGAGGACGTCGCCGAAGGAGGACGTGGCGTCTTGGAGGGGCTGCCTGAAGAAGAGGCTCCCGGAGCAGCCATGCCAGAGGCCCCAACTGTGGCTGCTGAGGTGCAGGAGGAGGAGGGCAGCGTCTGGCGTTTGCCTGATTTCAGGAAGTCCAGGAAGGAGGCCATGAACCCCGACTTCATCTCAGGCTGCTTCTCCTCTACCTCCTTGATCTTCTGCTTGATCTTCTCTCGGGTCTGGCTGCTATCTAAACTGATCTCTTGAGTGGGCTGGTGAGATGGGGCAGGGACCTCCAACTGAGACCCCTCCAAACCTTTGGGGACTGGCAGTTTGATCTGACAAAGGAAAGAGAAGGGACAAAACCTGAGAAATTTCAAAGCAAAGTGTTCTGCCTATATACCAGCCCATAGTACTTAAAGGATTCTCTTGGTGGTTTACAATTTAATCATGTAGGTTACATATTGCGTGCCCCCCCACTCCCCCAGCTAGCTGGGTACTCATTTTACCGACCTCAGAAGGATGGAAGGCTGAGTCAACCTGGAGCTGCTCGGGTCGAACCAGGTCATGAGCAGCGTTTTCACTGCAGTACAGCAGTTGAACCACTGTGCCACGAGGCTCCTCGTAAGGTTCAATAATATTTCCTGCTTAGACAATGGTTTAACATCTGTTATCCCCCACCCCACCCCTCCCAGCTTTACTCTGTGTACAAGTTCTACGGTCACAGTGTTTCCAGTCCTATCCAAAAATATGCAAATTAGGTGATCTTGTATGTGTCTGCCCAATGTTTTCCACTTAATAACAGTATCAGAACACTCTAAGGACTCATTCCCTCTCTCCCCTGCATGAACTAGGTGACAACTGGAAAAGGAGCAGAGTGAAAAAAAGGAGCAGGATGACATGGAATAGATTCATAGTGGGTGGAAAAGCATCAACAGGCAAGCTCTGCTTGGCACTGGAAACCGCCCAGAGCCAAGTAAAGTTCTCTCCAGCTCATCTTCAGTGCGTATTTCCCTACTGAGACTCAAGGTGGGAGATGTTGTCAGTCTGCAGTTTCCACCATCCATCCAGACTGAACACACTGCCCAGCATGATGGGAATTGCGGTACACCAACATGTGGAAGACCGCACACTTCACCACCCAATGACTGTAGGCACAGTCTCATTTTCTCAAATCACAGCCTTCCTTGAGAAATGAAACTTGAAAAGACCAAAGAATTCAAGAGGTGGGATTTGCCATCGTGACATACAGAAGCTGGCTCTCCAAATGTTTGAGCCGACAATTCCCATCAACCCCACCCAGTATGGGCAATGGTAAGAAATTCTGGGAGCTGTATTTCCAGACCTGAAGAGGCCCTCTCTTGGTGAGCCCTCTGACAGGCTTTGCTAGCAGTAGCAGCCGCAGTGTACCCAAGAGCACCAACCAGCCTCCAGCATGGATCTGGGAATCTTAAGTTCATGGCTTTACAGTGACACGCTATTGAAAGCATTGGGGGGACTTAAAGAGGAAGCTTCCAGGCCCCCCCGTCAGCAGTTGTGGGGGGACAAGTTATCAACCCGTTAGGACCCCAGCAGTTGCCCCATTATGTCATATCCTAAGGCCAAGGCTGACATGATGATTCTAACCATCACTGGCAAATCTTTTCTTCTGCTATACAACACTATCACTATTTGGAAGAGCCAGTGAAATACCACAGCACACACGGATGTGGGGTTACCCAAGGCAGACACATTTTGATCACAGAATAATTTCCTTGGTGCAAAACATTCCGCGCTTCAATGCAAAAAGAAACTGCTTTTAGTTCTTGCATGAAAACTTCATTTTAATACTGATACATTTTAAAACATTTATACTCTGGCTTTACAATACGAACCCTTGCAGCCATTTTTAAGTAACATGTATTAAAAACAACCGGCATATCAGAATTTTTGTTGTTGTTAAACCGAGGAGGAGTGACTAATAAAAGAGCAATCAAAACCAGAAAATTTAAGTTACTCAAATATCTATTTTTAAAGGCTAATGTTTCTAGCTGCTCTCTGAAAAGTGAGATTAAAAAAGAGACCTTTCTGTGAGGGGGGCAGGGAACACCCCCACATTCAGAGTATTGGAGTCACTTATCTCCTGTCCTTATCCACCGTTCTTCAGAGACAGCAGAAGGAAAATCAGTGCCCTCAGCCAGCAAATGAAGGGTCCAGAGTCAGCTTAGCACTCATCTTTATGAGGTGGGTTTGCCAATGGAGTCAAGGTAGACAACACTCATTATTTTGGCCCATGAGTTTGAAAACCCCACAAGCACAGCTCTCTACCCCTGGCAGTAAAAAGGATGTAACAGAAAAGATAAATCATTTTTGCCCTTCTATGACATTCCAAGTCTGCCGTCTAAGGCAGCTACTTCACTTAGCAAATGGGAGGTGGACTTTGGGTAGCTAGAATACATGTGCAAGGCCTAACACAGCTAGTGAAATACCACTAACAAGTACAGCATACAGGTGAGACAACACAAGACATTTTACAAGGTAGATTCAACAGCTGAGGGCACAACACTTTGTTCCAATCTCCATCCTCATTTTCCAAAATGAAAAGGATTGCAGGCATCTCTGAGGTTCATTACTCAAGGTACAATGTGGTCTATATATCAGCACAATGACTATAACTTGGGCAAATCACTGACTTCCACCATCTTCTCATAAATACAGACCTCGGCTTCTCTCTGTGCGCATGTGTGGATGTGCAACATACAAAAATGCCATCATCAGTCAGTCCTTGTGCATCCACATATCCTCAAATGGACCCCTATCACCAACCATTCTTCTGCCCTCTTCACATGCAGCTATGCTATTGGGTTTACCCAAACATAAGAAAGAAAATTTCTAAGAGCTAGTGCCTATACACTTGGCAACATGACTGCTACCCCAATAAGTAAAAGCAGGGGGGAAATCTGTGGAAACATCCACTGGACTCAAATGTACAGGAGGGACTCAACTAGTACTAGCGTTGCATGTGATATGCCCTTGAGTTGCCAAGGACTGGTTCATGCCATGTAACAGCCCTTTGAGGGTATCAGAGGCAACAGCCTCAAGGGCTCCAGAAGCCTGCTCCCCTCACATTTACACAGTAGATCTGAGTTACAGCTCAGTGGCAGAGTACAAATTTTGCACAGAGAAAGCAGCTTCAGTTCCCAGCATTTCTTCCATTAAATAGGCGCAGGAAGAGCTTTAAAAAGCCAGAAAGGATGCATTCATGAGAATTCCCTGGCTAGCATGGCCAGTAGCCATGCTGACTAGAAGATTGTGGAAGCTGTAGTTTGAATGAGCATTTATTATTTTTTTTAAAAAAGATCTTGACTAAGACAGCCACAGGTGGAAAACCACCAAGCCTGAAACTTAGGCAAGTGCAAGGAAAACGTCTTCAGTCTTAGTTTCCCAAATGGTCTTGGTTGATGTTTTCCAGGGGAAGGTATGGCCAAAGGCATACTAGCATTTCACTCATATCTTAAAGAGCTTTGATCTTAAAGCCCTCCCTGCCAGGAACTAAAGTACAGGAGGAGCTTTTCAACCTTTTAGAATGGGAAATAATCGACAACAGTTAAAAATGGATGAAATCCAGTTGCAAGCCGCAACTAGACAGGGCGATTGAATTCAGTGGGGATTTGGTGAGTCAACTTCCTTGCAAATTCCAGTGAGTTGATTAGCCTACTCTTGTCGTGATTTATGACTGGATTTCAGCCAGTATATCACCAAAAAGAAAGGGGTGAAGCCATTTAGGGAACCTGGGGACCTCAGGAGAGAGAGAGCCAGATTCAGCCCCAGGTCTGAGGTTGCCCCACCTGGACCCCAGCAAGCCACTGCCTCTTGGACCAGACAGGAGTGAGCCAGATGAACAAATAGCCTAAAAGTGACCAGCCTCCTCTGTCCCCTTGCTAGTCCATTTTCTCACTGGCATTTGCCCACTCTACTGCACCCTTTAGAAAACATACCCTCTTACCATTACGAACTGTTACTCAACAACCAGACCCCCATCTCCTCCTCTGTCCAGCTTACCTTGAGTGGTTTGAGCGACTCCAAGCCCGTTCCTGGCTCAACCCCCTCGTCCCCCGTTTTCTTGCCCCTCCCTCTCCCCCGGCCACGGGGCTTCTTTGTGCCATCATGAGCCACACCGTGGGGCGGTTCAGTCAGGGGCCGGATGCGGGGCCGCCCCCGTGGGCGGGGAGGGCCCTCTCGCTTGGGCTTGGTGGGCTTGCGGCCCCGACGCTTGGGCCCTTCCATGAGACCGCTGTTGGGTGGGCAGAAGTCTATGTCGCCCATAGGGCTGAGGCTGGTCCGGTTGGTGCGGCAGCTAGAAATGAGGTCCGGGAGCAGGTCTGGCAGGCGGCGGCTGTTAAGGCGGATGTCAGCCGGGACGTCCTCCTTGTCCTCATCGTCTTCGAACTCATACTCCTGGGCGTAGTTCTTCTTGGGCGGCTGGAAAGGGGGCTCTCGCTTCTTGAGCAAATGGAAAGAGGACGTCTTCAGCAGTTTCTTGGGCTTGGAGGAGCAAAAGATCGGGGACGTCAGGCCCGACTTGGACTCCGAAACAGGAGCCGTCCCATGTTGGCCGGGCTGAATCAGCCCCAACTGTTCTGTGTTGACCGTTGAAGGCAACTCATGCTTGACTGACACAGAATCTAACCCCAAGTGCTGCCCGTCCCCACTTTCAGAGGGACAATAGCTCTGGTACCCTTGTCCTCCTGGCATCATGTCATAGCCTCCCTCTTTCAGCCCCTCTCCCCTCTCCATGCCTTGAGTGCCGTCGTCTGGCTTGGGGAACTCGTCCCCAGCGCAAGGAGGAGGTCCAAACATGTCCTCCATGCCTGGGAAGAAGCTCCGGTCTTCGTCCTGTAACAGGGAATCTGGGAAGCAGATGGAGGTAAGGGGAACGAAACGCTGCTTGGCCCCTTGTGGGCTGGGGCTCTCAAACTGGTCCTTGCCCTCCAGTTGGCCCTGAGGGACTTGCTGAGAGGAATCGGGGTCCAAACTGGCATCAGGAAGGAGATGCTGCTGACTCTGCACTGCCCCACTTTGCCCCAGGTGAGACTCCAGGCTCAGCTCCGGCTCCAAGAAGTCCTGGATCTCTTGAGACTGAGAAAGGTTGCCCTGGGGCATCACTTCCATGCCCTCCGTCTGCATCCTTTCCGGCTGAAGCTGGCCCTGGAGCTGAGGGGACTGCTGGGGTTCGAGGAGCTGGGCTTCCATACTCTGGGAGCGCACGTGAGCCTGGTGCAGGTGGGCCTCCAACGCCTGCATCTGAAGCTGGGGCGAGGGGGCTTCAGCCTGATGCAGGCGCTGCGGCTCCATCAGGTGGACATCCAGAGGGGTGCGGACCTTCCCTCGAGAGTGTAGCTGGCTCTGGGTGTGGGTGAGCACCGACTGGAGCAGCTGTGACTGCTGCTGTTGCTGCTGTTGCTGAGAAAGGGAGAGAGGGGGCAGGTCCGGAGGGGAGTCCAACATCAGCGTAGCCCCCTGCTGCCCAGGCATCAGTCCGTGGGGCTCCATAGGGTGGGGCTGGGGGGCATGCTCCGGGGTCTTCTGCAAGTAGGAGTGGGCCTGGGAGATCTCCTTGCCACCTGCGTCCATGTGGCCTCCCTGAAGATGCTGCTCCACTGACTTCTTGATCTCTTGCCCATACGAGTCCATGGAGCCCGCTTGATGGCTGTAATGGACTACGGAGGTGGCCAGGGACTCCGGGGTCGAGCGGGTGTGCGGGTACTCCTTGGCCCTCTCCCCTTTCTTCTTATCCTTTAGGCTCTGCAGAGACATCTCAAGGCCTTGATTATCTAGGTTGGAGTTGGTCCGGATGACGCTCTGCAAGTGGTAGCGCTCCTCCGTCTTGCTCAGCTCATACCCCATCCCTTTGCCAGCCCTCTCTTCACACTCCACCATCCCTTCCGTGGGCACCCGGGGCGGGCTCTGTGATTGCAGCAGGTGCTGGATCAAGAACTCCTCGTCCTCCGTCCGCTCGGAAGACAGCAGGTCCGAGTCGGCCTTGGCTTTGCCATACGACGCTGCCCTCTCCAATCCTCCTTGGGAACTCTGGTAGCTCTGCGTATGGGCTGACTGCATGAAGGAAGGAGACAGCACGGAAGTAAGATACTTCTGAGACTGCCCGGGCGAGGCCACGCTCTGGGGCCGGTTGGTGGTGGGAGACTGGAGAGGCCGAATGATCTGCGAAGGGCTTGAATCCGGAAGGTTCTGGCTATGCGAATAGCCGATAGACTGGCTGTGGCCTGGCATGGCTGGCGAGTGGCCGGTGCTGTAACTCAGAGATGGACTGGCCGTGGGCATCCCCTGGGAGTGAGCTGGTACGTAACTTGGCGTCTGGCTGACCGAAACGTGGGGCTCTGTTTGAACGCTGTACCCAACGGAGGACAAGCCTTGCAGCTGCTCAGGCGAGTAAGTCTGATTCTGACAGGTCTGGAGCCCTTGCCCACCCTGCCCAGCCTGTCCCTGTTGCGACTGCCCGCTGGTGGAGTAACTCTGCGCTTTGCTCACGCTCGTGAGGTCTTGGGCCTGGTTGCTGCTGAAGCCCTGTGAGGCCTGGCTGACTGAAGAGAGATTCTGCGGCTGGCTGACTGAGTAACTCTGCGCTTGGCTCATGGAGAGCAGGCTCTGGGGCTGCCCGGGGGAGTAGGCCTGGGACTGGCTGGCAATGACCGAGCTGGGCTTGGGGGTGGACGAACTGTAGTTGCTTTGGCACTTGGGCGTGGCTGTGGAGCGGGGCGGCTGGCGGGAGGCCGAGTAGCTCTTGGATTTGGAGGAGGAGGCCGTGCCAGAATACCCGGGGGACTGAATGATGGGACGGTAACTTTGGGAGGGCTCTTGTCGCGTGGCCTGGGGCGTCTTCTGCTGCTGGGAGCCTTCGCTGCTGGCAGGGGACTGTTCCCCCAAGGGGCTGCATGAAAGACTGGAACGATGGGGCATCTGCTGGTAGCTGCCCCCACAGCTCAGGTAGTGCTGGAGGGAGTGAGCGGCGGGCAGCTGGGGTTGGGCGCTGGAGGGTCTCTGGTAATGTTTGATCACACTGTCCTGCCGAGGGATGGCCCGCTCGATGGAGGACGCAGGGGAACTGGAAAAGACCGAGGTGTTGTAAAGCTGCGAGGTTTGATCCGACGGCCCCAGCGAGGAGGAGAGGAGGTTGAACTGGGAAGGGAGGTGGCGGGACGCCGACTCTTGAGCACTCCGGTAAGCTGAGCTTTGGGAGGGCAAGCCTGTCCCCAGCACGGCGCTGCCCAGCCGGTCGAAGCTGAGAGAGGAAGGGACGCTGGGCTGGGAGGACTTGATGTGGAGCAAGGGGTCATGCGGAGACAACAGGCCATTGGAGGTCGGGCTGAAGGTAGCGTCTTGCAAGGTGAGGGAGGAAGTGACCGGAAAGCTACGCCCACTGAAAGAGGCCGGGTGCTGGTAGGCAGAGAGCGCTGAAGAGGAAGGGAAGGTGCCGGAGCCAGGGAGTGCCCCCGAGATGAAGAGCTCGGCCGGCGCTGGAGTGTGCATGGCTGCAACGACAAAAAGAAGTCTTCCGTCAGGAACGTCTGGACCAAAAGTACAGAACAGAGAGATGAAGAGCAGTTCCCCACCTTCAGTCTTAGACAGTACAGTGGTGCCTCGCATAACGACGTTAATTTGTTCCGCGAAAATCGCTGCAAAACGAAAACGTTGTCATGTGATTTTAAAAAGCCCATATAAACGCATTAAAACCCGATTAATGCATTTGTAGGGGCTTCAAACTCACTGTCCAGCAAAGATCCTCCATAGCGTGGCCATTTTTTTACCCGGCGGCCATTTTGAAACCGCCGATCAGCTGTGCGAAAATCATCGTATTGCAATGATCGGTTACTGAAACGGGACCAATCATCGAAAAGCGAAATTCCCCCATAGGGAACATCGTTTTGCGATCACTTTTGCAATCGCAAAAACATCGACGTAAAGCGATTTCGTCGTGAAACGGAGCGCTCGTAATGCGAGGCACCACTGTACCTGGAATGGGCAAGTCCGGGGACTTAATTTTCTTTTTCAAGATACAAGGGAGGCTAGGGAAAGGCTGAGGGGTCCTGGTTAGCATTTCATCGGGAGACCACCATAGGAACAGCAGACATCTTCAGGCAGGATCAAGACAGAACCTTGCGTGAGATCCTGGGAGAGCCACTGCCCACCAGAGTTGACTACACAGGGCTAGGTCCGGTGGGCCGGTGGTCTGTACAAGGCTTAGCATAAGTTTTCCTATGTTGCTTAGTCACAGCACCACAGTCTGTTTCAGAGGTGAGAAACAACTCCCATCAGCCCTGGCCAGCATCGCCAAGTAGCAGTCCAAAAACATCGGATGGGTCACAGATGACCACCCCAAGCTATTCCCACCTAAGGGACAAGAATCTACCATTAGAGCTTAGGCACATCAACACTAACTGCCAAGCAAAATCCCCCACCCTATCAAGAGTGAAAGGCTTCCGTTTCTCCCCCCACCCCCTTTGTAACTCCTGCACCAATATAAAAAGGACCAAATGGCACACTCCACCGTTCTGGAGTGAGGCAACTCCCACCCCTACTTGAACCACAAGCCACCTGGCCATGTTGGAATGTGCTCCGGAGCTATTACCTGTTTGCCAGGATGGGGTGCGGAACTGAGAGAGCAAGGAGGAGGCAGAAGGGCCTGGTTGCGGTGCCCGGGACTCCAGTGCTGAGATGAGGTTCATGACGGAGGCGTCCGGCGTGGCACTGCTGGCATGATGGAGCCCTGTCTCGAACAGGCCAGAAAGACCTGAAGGAGAATAACAGGAAAAAAAACTTTGTAACTGTTGGAGCAGTAAGGCAATGGAACCAATTACCTTGGGAGAGGGTGAGCACTCCAAAACTGGAGATATTCAAGAGACAATTGGATCTGTCAGATCTGCTTTGATTTTGATTCCTGCACTGAGGAGGAGGTTGGACTTGATTGCCTTATAGACTCCTTCCAACTCGATTATTCTATTAACATGTCATTTTAAAAAAAGAGACAGAGGAAAGCAATTAAAATGCCTACAGTTAGTGAGAAAGACGGGTGAGATGAATGCACTGAAAGGAGATAGGAAAAGAACTGTCACAGGGTACAAACAAGAGAATTTCAAGACAAACAACACAAGAGACCATGAAGAAACAAGGAAAACAGGAGCATTAGGTGACAGACACACTCTGGAGTTTTAATTCATTTTATTTGGAAAGGGGGTGGAAAAGAATCAGCCAAGAGCAGCACTGAAAAGCAGAAGGTGCAGAACGAGAAGTTGACCACCAAGCAGATGTTTCGCGGTGGTGGCAACCAGAAAAATATAAAAGAAAGATGAGAAACTGGAAGGCAGGTTAAGACTGGTAGCAAAAACCTAGTAACACCACTTTACTGGCATGGTTCATTTTTCACATTAAGCACAGGATTCACTATTTCTTACAGAGAAAGAGCACGTTACCATAGTATCTCGAGACTGAAGGATGCCTAATACTATTTCTTAACTCTCGCACACTAAGACAGGACATTCTATGACACTGACACTGCCACAGCATCCCTCCTTTTTTCAGTCCATGTCCTCAAATTTCACCATGCTAAAAAATAAGCATACCTGTAATCTGTGTCCCCAGATTTTGCCTTCTTGTCACATATAGTTTCTCCAAACAAACAAAAAATATCCCAGACAAAAACTGTCCTGAATAAGCTTTTACCATCATGTTTTTTTTAAAAAATTCAAATAACATAACAGAGAAGGCTAAAACAATTTTTGCAAGCTGAGCTACGAGAGAGCAAAGGAAAACTGACATATCTGCTTGTCAATAGGATGGCCATATTTTAGGGAAATCAACATTTCTGGATAGCTTGGTGGTTTAAGTATTTGGCTATTCAGCAGCAGTTAGGAGTTCAATTCTCCACTATGCCTCCCTGATGGACTGGATTCAATGAGCCACAGGATCCCTTACAGCTTTGCAATTCTAAGACGATGGTGATGGTGGTGGTGATTTCTCTCATGGGGGATACCAGAAGGAGTCCATGGAGGGCGCCCATTTCATTTTCTCTGATTTATTTTACATTTATTTAGTCTGTTTTGGGTTTTTTTTCTGGCACTGGACATTTGTGTGGAAGGCACTTGATTCTAAATACAGTGGTGCCTCGCATAACAAGTGCACCATTTAACGACGAATCCGCATAGCGACGCATTTTTGTGATCATTTTTACAATTGCATTGCGATGTTTTAATAGGCTAAACATCGCATTGCGATGATCGGTAAGCATTTTGCTTACTGACCTTCGCATTGCGATGTTAGGGAAACAGCTGAGCGGCGGTTCCAAAATGGTCACCGGATCAAGAAAATGTCCACCCACAGCGTTTTTGTGCCCTGCCCTCGCTTACCGAGGCGGCGAAAATGGCGGCCGGATGGGGAATCTTCACTTACCGGTGAGTTTTACCCCCATAGGAACGCATTAAACAGAGTTTAATGCGTTCCTATGGGGTTTTACATTCCGTTTAGCGATGTTTCCGGATAGCAACGTTTTTCCTGGAACGGATTAACGTCGCTATGCGGGGCACCACTGTATTGAAATACTTACCATATTTTTCTGTGTATAAGACGACCCCTCCTCCTTTTCTAACCCTAAATTTGAAAAACTAATCTCTGCTTTTCTCTTCCTTTTGCTAAGCCCCACGGTTTAGCAAAAGGAAGGGGAAAGCAGAGATCACAGGCCTGCACAATCACTGAGCCCACAACCAGCAGTGGAGGCAGCAGCAGGTGGAGACTGAGGCAAAGAAGCAGCTGGGCCTGTCGCCTCTCGCTGCTACCCATTGACTGCCGCCACTGCTGCCTGATTGCAAGGAGACGATCACTGGAGGGGGCTATCAGATGGTGCCGGCAGGAGTCAATGGGCCGCTGCGAGAGGCGGCCGAGCCTGGCTGCTTCTTTGCCTCAGTCTCCGCCTCCTGCTGCTGCCTTCCATGTATAAAACGACCCTCAATTTTTTGTCTATTTTAGGGGAAAGTGTCATTTTTATATGGAAAAATACGGTATTTGGTCTTGGAGCATTTTTATACACCACAACATACTGGAATTCTCACTGAAATCAGGAAATACCCCACAATTCACACAAAACAAGTTTTTAAATATATAAATGTAATCCAGAAGAGAGAACCAAAACCAGCCCATTGGGTGGGGAACTAGGAAAATGGTTTCTTTCTTCTAGAAGAATTGTACCCTGCTTTCTACACAAAGGTACTCAAAGGACACTGAAGTAGGAAAATAGCAGTAAATAACACCATCAAGAGAAAGTAACAACCAAAAGTGAGGACTTTCAGTGCGAAACCACAAAAAACTCTTTCCTCCAGCCCAGTCCAGATTTCCCCACCTACATCCTGCCTTAGATTAAGGAAAGAACATTTTTTAAAAATGCACCCATCAATGAGAGCCATGTTGCATAGTGCTTACACTGATGGACAGGAGGAATTTGAGAGATCTGGGTTCTAATTGCCACTCAGGCCCAGAAGTCACGGAGTGACCTCAGCCCAGTGCTTTGAGCTCAGAGGTGGAACAGTAAATAAACAGACACATTGTACGGTTCTGAAAATATGGGGGAAAGCAGAAAAGCTAAGCAAGGGGAGAGGGAACATTGATAAGGCTGTCACTCACATTTGCACAGAAAGGGCATATAACAGTGGAGATGGGGAGAGGAAGGAGAGGCCCGGTTGAAACACGTATGCACGCCAACATCAAGGAGAGAAGAAAGAGCACAGTACCTGCCGGGTGGTGGTTTGTGGCGTAGCCCTGCAGAGGATGGGGAGTGGCGTATGCTTGGCGGTGTAAGATATCTGTGTCTGGGTGTGAGCCCCGGGATCCGCCGTACACCAAGCTGAAGGAGAAAGAGAAACAGACAAAAGTTCAGGCCGGGCCAACGAGTCAAGATCATTTAACACTGAGCTGGAAAAGAGCTCAGAAAGGTTTGGTCTTTTCGGACGGGAACTCTCAAAAATTTCCCAGCTTTGTCAAGGTTTGAACTGGGCAACTCGTGAGCTCCTAGAGGCCGCTGGGCTCCGATGGCAATGACCAGCATCAGCCTTGCCAAAGGTAAAAGGTGCTTGGAGCAGTCATGCTCCCAGACTGGGAGGTCACAGGGATCCAATATAAGGCCTTTAACATACTTTTGAAACATTCCACTGCATGGATAAATGGATTCATCTCTCAGTGAGGGACAGCCCATCCTTCTCATCTGCAAGTGTGGCTGAGGGCAACCAATGAAGGAAAGGTTCTTATTTTTATAGGGCTGATCTCAAATGCAAAGAAATAAAGGTCCAGGTACATATTTGCTCCCTTCTCCCCACCCTGCAACAATACCTAACTAATTTCGGATCCCTGCTCAGCTCTAAACTTTCTGTGCATTGCACCTCTAAATCAAGCCGACCAATGTCATCCTTATCAGGCGAACACATTCATTATTGAAAATGAAAATACTCTGAAAATGTCCCCCAAAAATGGTAGGGGAATTAATGTATAGGACTACCCAGAGGCAAGAATACTTAGAAAATTCACTTTCGCAGGCTGAAGGCTCAGAGAAACCCCACCATGCTCTGGAAATACTTCTAATTCACTAGGGTTATCCTCTTTTGTTTGCAACCCCCACATGCAGGAAAGAGGACTGGAATTGCAACCAGTGAAGCATCCTGGGAAATGTAGTCCCTAGCTCCTGGTTTTCTACAGCCTCTGTCTCTGACTTGCATCCTTTACTATACCCTCCCATCCTCCACTCCACTCGCACAGGAAGACGCAGCTGTCTAGCCCAGCGGCCAGAACACAGCTCACAGAAGAACGCCCCTGAATCCTGACCTGCTTCCTCAGCCGTGGGCACTGCTGAGATCTTCCTGTCCTTAACGGCAACCCAATCAGGTCAGGTGTGCTCCTGAGGCTGAGGCTGAGGCCACGGCCACCGATTCCTGTCCTTTACTTGCAAATCCTCTACCTCACCTCAGCCCCCTACACCAAAAACAGCCCATTATTTTTCTGATCTGCACAAATCTGTCTCTCTCTTTCTCTCTCTCTCTCTCATGTGGCCATGGCCACTGACTCCTGTCCTTTACCTGCAAATCCTCTACCTCACCCCCCTACACCAAAAACAGCCCGTTATTTTCCTGATCTGCACAAATCCCTCTCTCTCTCTCTCTCTCTCTCTCTCTCTCTCTCTCTCTCTCTCACACACACACACACACACACACACACACACACACACACACAGAGAGAGAGAGAGAGAGAGAGAGAGAGAGAGAGAGAGAGAGAGAGAGAGAGAGAGAGAGAGAGAGAGCGCAAAAGTTCGTTGCTCTGTCTACTACGCAGCCTTTTATCAGACAAATGGCACACTAAGGAGACTGTGGTTCCTGCTACGTTACAAAAGCCCTTCCCAAGACCTCACTCCCAGACTACTCACCCACCATTTCTAATGAAGCCACAAGTCCTATTTATCAATATCCCATTCTCAATCCCCACCCTGTCACAAAAATAAATATGCTGAGCCAGCGTGTACCTCTTATCCAAAAATCCAGGACTCTGGGCACTAGCTGTGCTGATCTAACAAATTTAAACAGTACAATGTTATACAGATCTGCTCAAAATTAATTCCCATGGAGTTCAGTGGAGTTTCCTTCCAGGCTAGTTTGTGTAGCAGGAGAGGGGAACTTGCAACTCCTGAACTGCAACTTCCACTGTCCTGCCCTGCTCCAGCAGACTGCCTGGGGCTGATGGGACCTGGAGTCCAGCAGCATCTGTATGGCCACAAGTTCCCCAGCCTGGTAATACAGCACTGCAGCCTCAACTACTGTTGCAGTCTAGAACAGCCACTCTTGTTGGACAAGAACCTGGTGTCTATTCCAAGGCTGTAAAAATTGTTTCCGCACACAGCGAGATCCCATACTTATCCCTTTACCCTCTTTAAGCAACACCCAGGTACTTCAGATCCCACGCAGCACGCTCCCTTCTGCCAGATTTCTCTTTGGGAGCCACTCCATGTAACATGATTACATGCAAGGTCGCCACTCCCCTCCTTCCAGCGCCAAACCAACCTGACACCGTTATTTATTCTTCTGGAAGTGTGTGTCGAGACATGTGCCACGATTAGGCACATACCACGCAGGAAATGCAAGCAGCACAGCCTTGGGACAGGAGAAGTGCTACATGGGGTCCACCCCTGCCCCCTCCTGGCAAAACAGGAAGAGCTCGCGTGCTCAAGGCAAGAGTACCTGACTTGGGAATGTGCCTACCTGCCGAAAACCTGCAGGGAACCATAGAAGCTACAAGAGCAGATATGAAGCATGGAGGTCAAAGGAAAAGGAGGCCCAATTTGCAGCCTCTACAGACAATCCTCTGCCTACATATGACTGCAATATGGGGATGGACAACACAGCAGCACCTATGAGAGGGCCATTCTGCTACGGGTTACAGGAAACGAGGGGGTCTTTCATTTCACACTACTATCTCAATTCTTTACTCGCTACAGCATACTGTATCAATAGTTGGATGGAAATGCATGCAAAGACTAAAAGAGAGACAAGAGGCAGATCCATGAAAAATTAAGCTTCCTCACTGCCTCCTAACACAAAACAGAGAAATCTCCCATTTCTCTTCTCTTGCTATGCTCTCGTCCTGCAATGAACTGGTCAGTACCTGATGGGATGCTGCAAAACAAATGCATGTTTTCGCTAGCAGCAAACGATATTCCTTTTCTCTGCAACGTTTTAATTGAATTGTTTATTTGCAAACATGCTTTGCAAACAATATATCCACCCTCACAACCAACCTGCAAGGTGGGTCACTCTGGCTCCTGCTGTGGAGACCAGGAACCAATGCTGAGAGTGTGTCCGATTCCCAAGGCTACACAGCAAAAAATATATAGGGACTGCGATACTTGAGACCAGGTGTCCCAGAGCCAAGCATCAATCTCCCCAACTAGCACCTATTCGGGAGCACTGGCTCTCACCTAGAGGGCCTGTGAAAGATAAACAATACTTTTGCTTGCAAGAAGAAAAAAGGTTCACCTTCCAGAAATCCGTACCATGTGAGCAAGAGCTGATAAGCTAGTAGACCTGGGAGCTTTGAGAAGACCTTGAGTAGGTCAGTGGCTAAGCCCCAGGTTCCCCAACCAGTAAACTGGGAAGAAGAGTGACCTTCTTCCTCGGGGTGACTTGAGGACATGCCTCACTATCAACCCCAGCCTTTGGGGGGTGGGGAAAGCAATACATCTAAACACCACTGTCAGAAATGCACCTAAGCATCATGTGCACACACAAACACTATTTTAGTTTAACGCTAGGACCACTAGGCACAGAATCCATCATGGCCAGAATTGTGAGAATTATGGTCCAAACATGTAGCTTTCTGTGTTCTGATTTAAGAAATCGTTAATGTTCTTGAGCTTGCTTCTGTTTCAACTAGTAAGAGCTGAAGTAAGGGAAAATAAGGACACGTGTTACACCTTAAAGGTGTATATTCTTGCTCTTGAAGTTGCTAATTACTGTTGTTTAAAAAGCCTACCTGAGTGGAACGCTTGCTAACCCATCTCAGTGTACACCGACATACAATACTGTCTTTTTCCCTCTCTTTGAAATAATCCCTCCATAGTATGTGCTACCAAAGTTTGGATGGAATTGGGAATATTAAGGATTTGTATCAAATTATGGGACAAAATACTGAATGCAGACAGGGTTAAAAAATGCTGTGCAGTTGTCGGGATGTGGGAAAGAATAAGAAAGTTGGCGTGCTCTCTGCTGTAACGTACTTGGCAGCAACATTTCACACCTGCAAATTTAAACAGCAAAATGCAAAATACACTGGGCAACTTTGACAAAATTGGCACGCTTTGCCATTTTTCCCCGTTTCCAAATATGACCTATGGTGGTGAAGGTGACAAAAGATTAAGAGGTACAAACGTTTTAGGCATTTTGCAAAGTGAATGACTCCATCTGAGTCCTATTCAAATCAAAACTTGTTTCATGAAGATTGCATGTATGCTATTTACAAGAAATACAGACAGAGGAGTCTGGAATATGCATGGATGTGTCCTGGATGAGTAATGGAATGTGCATTCATATGCTCTGTTAAGCCAGTGATTGCAATCGTATTTCCTAGATGCAACGGTCTGGACAAACAGAGGCACTGCATCGTTACCATCACTTTTAGAATAACTCACATCCCAAAACCACACAGGAAACCATGGAAGTTAAAAATGTATTGCATGAAATGCACCCACAACACGGGTGCAAGAGCCAATTGCCCACAAGTGCGCTAATCTGTAAATAGGCAAGCCTCATACATGTAGCATGCAAGTGCACTCCTTTAACTGTGCATCTTCTGGAGGCACAGGTGCATGAAGAGCAGCTAACACCTTTCTACTAACAGGGTTCAATCACCAGCAGAGCTTACATGAGCCATGGAAAACAAGGTACAAAAATAGGCAGGTCACAAATGCAGGAAAAATATGTGACAGAAATCTTGACTTGCAAGTAACAGGATGATGCACAGCATAAAAGACAGGCACCAATCAACGATCCATGTAGCACTGTAAGCATAAGGACAATGCAAAGACCAATGTCACATATGCAAAGTCAATTGTACAAGTTTCTTTTTGCATTTCGCATGCAGATGTGCAAACATATGTGCACCCCAGAAATAGCAGGATGTGCTAAAGACAGACACAATCATATATATGGGCTTGTGTGTTTCTGGTTTACCCTACATGATACCAACAGGAATCCGGCCGAAGAGTCTACTTGCCATACAATGTGTGCTCCATGGCTAAAAACGCACTTCACAGATTTCCAGAATTACCAAATATGGG